GGGGTTTTTTTTACCTTTCCAGGGGAGTTCTGCCCTTCCCGGCTGCAAACCGTCTCACCAGCTGAGCCCTTTCACCAGTTCGGGGTGGGTGTTATTAGTTTCAGCTGCTCACTCCATTTGCTCCGGGACACGACCTGGGACGCGTCTGCCTATATCGCCGCCATCTTCTTTTTTTTCTTACGTTTTATTTTAAATGAAATAGGAAGCCTCTAAAGGATTCAGGGAGGATGTGATGTGGGCCTTTTTGTTTTAAAAAGCTCATTCTTGCCTTGGCCAGTGTGGCTCAGTTGGTTGAGCATCAAACTGTGCACTGCGAGGTTACAGGTACTATTTCCAGTCAGGGCACATGCCCAGGTTACAGGTTTGGTCCCTGCTTGGGGAGCCTATGGTAAGCATCTGATCAATGTTTCTCTCTCACATTGATGTTTCTCTCCCTCTTCCTTCCTCTCTCTCAAAATAAATAAAACATTTACAAGTTAAAAATAAAATAAAACCTCACTCAGTCTGCTATATGCAAAATGGATTGGATATGGGCATGAGGACAGGCAGAGACATCTGTTATGACTGGAAGGGATTACTGTTATCAACTAGGCTTAACATCTAGAGCATTTCGAACCTTCAGTCATATTTAAAGGCCTCTGCAGATGTTCACAGTGAAATATCTAGTTATATCTTCTCTGCAGTCAATTAAAGCTCTTCATGATAGAATGTTGGACTATTATACCTAATTTGCTTGTATTTACATTTTTGAGCCTTTTATAAACCAGGTCTTATCACATTTGCCCTTGGCAATTTTCTTCTCTTTCAAACCTATTTTCTTTAGTTGTCAATATCAGAATTGTGTCTCACCAGGGTTCCTCATAGGTCCTGGATATATTCTTGCCCTAGTCCTACACTACATTTTCTTTTTGAAACCATAATATAAGGATTGACTACATGCTTGATCAACTTTCATCTATCACTCCTCCTCAGATATTTAGTAATTCATTTAGCAAATAAGTCTTTCAAAGGTAGGTACATGACTTCTCTTTCCATATGTATATACTATGATATTCTACACTCATATCCACTTTATTTTAATCATGTAGACAAATTACCTTCATAATTTTAATTCTAGCTTTTTAAATATTGGTTTTACTTTTCATCTTGGTTCCATTTGCAAAGTTCATTAGTCATCATCTTGGCCATTCATGGGTATATTCTTAGAGAATGCCATCATCAGATCCCGATGCCTAACATGGATATATAGCAAATAATCTGTCTGCACACCTACATAACTAATAGTTATAATCTATGGATGAATTATCCAATACAGTAGCCACCAGCCACACATGATCATATAGCTTAAATAAAATTGATTTTAAAAAATTTAAAATTTGGTTCCTCATTCACATACACTAACCACATTTCAAGTGATTAAGTGCCATATGTGATCACTGGCAACAGTATTGAACAAGGCACAAATATAACATTTCTATGATTTAGATTTCTATTGGACGGTGCTGGCCTACACTGTACTGTTTCCTATTACATGGGATGATGTTTAAAACTCTGCAAATAAAGACTTTTTAACTTTAACCATACAGGATAGCCACTCTGTCCTAAACTGTGTGAACTTTTATAATCTGAAAACATTCTGGAAATGAAATGATAGAACTTGCTTACTCAATTGTTTCTATATAGTCCAAGTATATTTGCTAAAGTCATTATGTCAAGTGTTTGGAAAGGTATTTGTTTCAGTCAATAAAAGAGTTTGGGTTGCAGGTTCCATGTCTCTATCCACAAGAGCCAGGAAATAACTTTATATTACACTCATTAGTTAAGTTCTTTGGAAAATTGCTTTGGTTATTGCTCCATAGTAAATGCTATAAAATATTTAGTCTGGGATTTACTCACATCCAGAGAATGTTGGCAATACCAGCATTGTTGACACTCCTTTAATTGGAACAAAGTGGGACTATAATAACCAAAGAGTGACTCAGAAATATATCCTTATCTAAATCCTTGAGCGTCTTGATTAGTCTTAGGAAATAGAAAAACATTTGTACTGGAACAAAGACTTTTGACATAGATTATTGTTGAGTTTCTTGTCATCTTGAGTTTCAAAGAAATAAGGGTAGCTTTTCTCTTTATAAATACAGTGCATAAAGGCGATGTGTACAATGAAGAAAAGTAGGAAAGCGAGATTAATGCCATTAGATTTTTCATCATTATACTCCTATCTGATATGTGAATTTAACTAACACAGATACACCTGTTTCAAGTATAGGACTTCATAATGTAATTTCTTTTTTTAATTTAATTTTATTGTTTAAAATATTACAAATAGTACAGATGTCTCCTTTCTTTCCCATTGACCTTCCCCCTATAATGTAATTTCTTAACTAATGCTAAATGTTCTTCATAAATTTTTATATAGTACTATTACATACTTAAGATACATTTGAGTATGAAATAAGACATAGATTTCTCATACCAAGACTGTTTGTTTCTTCCTTGCTTATTTCTATGCTGTGTTCCTTTTCAAATTATTTTACTCACATTTCTTGTGGGGTTTTTTTTTCTATTTGAATTTTTGGTTTAGTTATTATTGAGCAAATTGTATCATTTCAGTCATTTCTAGTATTACAGTTGTAGGGGCATCAACTGAAGATTGTTTCTCCACAAGTTTAAGAGACTACAAAGTCAAATTGATATAGAACAGCTAATTTACATATCAAAGGAAGTTAAAAAAAACACATAATTGTTAAAATTTTGTTTTGTTTAGTTATGGCATATAACATTTGTCCATCAGCCAAAAGTTTCCATCTGAGAAAGCCCAAATAGTACAGATAGTGTATGTTTTATCTGGTGATGTATGTTTTATCTAGTTTTATCTAGTGAATGCACCTTATCTTTATTCATAAACTGTGAGTTTTTATACTGTTGAGACTTTTAACTGATTTTCATAAATAATAATCTCATCTCTTCCAATAATTAATTAGTTTCATAGAGATTAGCTCCTCATAATCATTGCATGACAAATGAAATTATTTACCTGATTATAAATAACCAGATAAATTATCCGCTAGCAGGCTGAGATTAGTCTCTTTATAAGAAACAAAGTTTACTTAAAACATTAAGTTATGATCTTATCTCTCCTATGAGGTGATGAATACTTCCTGTTGAATGAAGGAAAAAAATGACAAAGTATTTAATTCAGTGAAATTTAAACCCCATTAACTTACTACAAATAATGGAAAGAAAGTGAAAATGTAATTGTGTGTGTTTTGATGTTGGTCATGGTGGAATTAGAGGTGGGTTTGGGAAGAACAGGTAAAGACCATGGGGAAAAAAAAACAACTGTGTATTGGTTGTTCCATTGCAGGTGGCTGTTTCTTTGGCTGTGTTGTGGATAGTTAAAGAGTGAGTATTCTGTGTCCTATTGTGGATTGTATTTTGTTACTATTGATTATTTGGGACTTATTAAGTATTGTAATATCTGTGCTTCAT